ATGAAGCCTGCAAGCTCTGCGCATTTCCATCCAAGGTACATGACCCGAAAGTCAATCATAGAGCAGAACTCTTCCCATAGTGTAGGTAGGTAGGGTATAGAGAAAATCCCTCGTCTGAGATGTGGAAACTCTGAGGGCTCTGTCACTGCTTCGTAATCGATCACTGCAGGAGAGATGTACCTCTTTGCCAGTTCAATCAAGTCACCCGAGTGGGAGCCGTCTGTCAGAGTAAAGGGCACCAGAGGCCTGGGATAGTCAGAGTAGAGTTTTGGTCCAAAGTTGTGAATCAACTTAGTACCGCTTTCGTCAAGCTCCTTCTCTCTGTCCTCCAGGTACCCAGCTGCTGCAGTCTAGACTGAGTCGAAATACTCATGGGTTTCTTTGTCTTTCTTCACATACAATCTCAAGTCACGGATGGTACGCTCTGCAAAACTGGAGAGGACCGCGAACACTGACAGATCTCCCTTCTTGAAACTGATTGCACTGACATACTGATACGGAAAAATATCCTTGGAAGAAATTATGTTGAGACTGATCAGAACAAACTCGCTGACTGAGGAAATTTGCACCGTACTCATGTTATGATGCTAAAAAGTTCAAAAGTTCAAGTGGGGAACACTTCTGGTTGATACTGATTGAGAACTGAGTGTTGCTGAGATTTTGCTGACTGAAACTGAGTATTGCTGAGATTTTGCTGACTGAAACTGAGTTCTGCAGGGATGGCAGAATGCTGCCCGCTGGCCACTGGGTGGCAAAACTCTGAAACTATTACCGTCCGCTGGGGATACATGTAGCTGAGACTATGGAACAATTGCTTACAGATTCATTGGTTTTGGCTGTTAGGTGTTGAGCACAAAGTTTGCTGAGTGCCCTGCTGATAAAATCTCGGAGAGGAAGCGGAATAAACAACCTTTTTTTTTTTTTTTTTTTTTTTTTTTTTTTTTTTTTCTTTACTTGAGTTTAGCCATGACCTTTTCGACCGTTTCTAGAGATGAGCAGATACTGTGTAGTTTACCGGTAGGACTATAAAGGTAGAACACGTATTCTATGTATTTCTCCTCCGTGATCATCCAGACTGCTTGTTCCCGCTGATACTGCCTATGTGGTTCCATGTCCTGACACGCAGCGTCCTCCCACCCTTCTCTCTTGTCCCTTTTTTTAACTGGACTTCATCACAAGGACCTCTTTCCTCTTCATGCTCCTCCTCTCCCTCAATCACCGGTTTACTAAGAACGGGGAAGGTAAGGGGAAATTTTACTGGTCCAGGAGCTCTTATGGGGATGGAAACTACTCCCAGCTAGTCACCGAGTAACACCCAATAAATAGACTTCAGGTCTCTTTTCCCTTTGATAGTGTTCATAGACTGTTGATCTCGGCTGTAATTGTTTAGACACCGCCACACACACAAAAAAAAAATTGAATGAAAGAAGGCGCTGATAGAAGGTCACATGTGTCTAGGGCCCTCTGTTAACCAACTGCAAAGGCAGGATCTGACCCGCCAACTTACGCCTGTTCAGGGTTCGCTCCAGTCTGATTACAACCCTGTTTACTTTCCTCAAAGGGAGTAATAGAACCGGATGGAAATTAAAAGGGATCCCAAACATTGAGCACCACTAATCCATGGTCCTCTCTGGCCTGAGAAGAGTAATCAGCACCGATTTGCCTCCCGCACGCCTGATCTGACTACAATCCAAATAACCCTTGACCTCTGCTGACCACGGTTAGTAGGTAAGGCACAACGCCGTTAAAGTTACCTCTGTCACTTGGCAGTACAAGATACAGGACGTGATCGGTCAGGCTCAGCCTGGTCGACACGTAAACCGTGATTAGGCGTTGTCTCTCCGACCGCCTCCAATTCATAACACCTTAGGTACAACTCCCCTCCGTATTGTGCACAAAACATGAAAAGTGGTTTGAACAAGTATTTTACCTTCGTGCGATGCAAGATTTTGCCAAGTTTTGAGATCGCTCATGCGCAGTGCAATTAATGTTCCAAGAGAGAGGGTTGTAGCGCGTGAGAAATATCACCTAATACCAACTGACCTCAGACGTTGAACAGACCCTCACGGGTTGGAAGTCCGGCTCGAGTAAACGTCGTGTAAAGGCAGGTACCGGTCCTCACTTGAAACATCATTCTGAGCAACACTAGTCTGGGTCATTCATAGTTTATTCACCAACGCTATAGACAGTGGGTCCAACTCAAACCAATGTCAAAGGAAGTGAGAACCCTCAAAATAGCATTTAAAAGTAACTTCCACTGGAAAGTCTGCATAAAAAGGGAAATTGGTTGATCAACCAGAGAGTTAGAATGGGGCTCAGACACTTGTCTGCTCAGATTTTATGGGTAAAGGCTCCTTTGTCCTTTAGTCACCATCCAGTAAATACTACGCTAATAGATAGGCTACCGTTCGTAACAAGAACTGTCTCTTGCCTATTAACTTTGATCAGAAGAGCAGAAAACCCAAAGAATTATGCTCAAATCGACTCGTTTTCATAGGGTAGGACTTGTTATCTCACTACCATCTGTAACAGCGTAATCGAATTAACTGGCACCAAATCAAATTTCATGTGGACCAACTCTGCTCAACGGACTTACAGTTTATCCACAGGGTTGGCCCATTCGGGCCGTTAAGATACCCGGGCAACAGGAGGTCACTTGTTCATGCCCGAGTTAATTTTTCAAAGTAGTAAAGGGCAGTCTCTAGCCCTCATAGACCTTTGATAAATGCCTACCGAACAATCAGCCAGGTAAAGCTTAGTTAGTTAGTCTGATCAGTCGAAGCACACTCCAATAGTAATACAATCCAATTCATGGGCCTTAGTATATCAATATCATACTAAAAAGGTTAGTATCAAGATTCGCATTCGTCTGAGCGAAAGATTCCAAGATGAATAGGACAACCGGTGCAAAGTTTGAGAGTCTCAGGCCAGGAAAAAAAAACTTTGCACTGATTTAGGGGAAGGAAGGTTAAGGAATCATGTCCACAGTTAATCGTGATCTTATCTGACGGTCATACCACTATCTCCTTCCAAAGTAGGATGTTTTTCTCAGCCAGGGCAGGGGCTCAATGATCAGCACACCCAATTGGCATCATGTTAACTGATTAAGCTTGATGTCTGCCCTGTCCTTTTGACAACGTCAGACCTCAGTCTTCTCGATCCCTTTGTGTCCTTTCCCAATTCCTGAGTACCCGTCTTCCCAATCGTCTCTGCGACTATGCAACGTTTATGAACTTTCCCGCATGACCTTCAAACTTCAGTGATACAAATCTCAAACTGCTCACTGCCCCTACCTTCTCTTTCGAACTACAGGGGTAGTAGTTAGAACGGAGGAATAATGAATACCGCCAAGAAGACTCCAAATCACTGTCACTTGCTGTTAGTAGACCGAGGTCTACCGATAACGATAACACTCCACATATACCTCCCCAAACTGACTTTCAACTGACAGACTTCCCCAACTATCGCCTGTAACTACACATCAGACCAGGACCTTTGTAATTATGAGAACTAAAATTAAAGTTGATGGCGGGCAAAGCAGCAGCCGGCTCAAGACAGGGAGACGAGGTGATATAAGTGCTGATACTAAAAGGGCGGCGAAACGGTTCCGTCATGGCAACGAATACTCAAAAAAAAAAGGCTAGTGGAAACGACTGTTCGATTACGATCATGTTATTGACGTCAACCAATTTACGCCCTCATGCTCACCAAGTGGCAAGTCTTGACTTCGCAGGGCTTCGCCCGCACTGGGCACTCCACGTCCTACGCACTCACCCTCCCCTGCTCACGATCGTGCATTGCTCAGGCCGTACCCCCAGTCAACACTCAACTCTCTTTTCCGGTTATCGGCCATCTCTGCGTCAGTGGTGGAGTGTAGCTAGACGCGCAGAGAGCAGCAAGACACACTCTCGCGTTGATGTCAACAGTAGTCTCCCTCTCCCCGAGGACACACGCGCCTCTTGTTCGTCACTGATGGCGTCATCTGGGAGTTCCCTTCGTCGCCCGTGCTCACGTGCCTCTCACCTCCGTCTCAATCTCATTTCTCCCTCTCTCAGCAAGAAAACAGCATTGCTGACGTCAACATCCCTAGTGCACATACTGCACTCACACTCGCACCTTGCACTACACCATCATCTGAGCTAGGACACCGTCAAGCTAAACGAGCTTTCCCCTACACATCGTACACACGTGGTGACATCCCTCGTCTGCCTGTTTCGGGAGGATTGCGGCGCAGGTCACGCGTTGTCGCACCAACCCCTCTCCCTATTTGTTTCTTGATTACTGCGGTTTTGGTTTGCCCAGAACCTTGGACGACAAACAGCAATGTCTAGACACGATTCTCGCTAGGCACAACGCGCACACATCAAAGCTGACCCACTTTCCAGGCCTCGTCTTGCACGCACGACTCCCGTACATCTATACCGAGATGACACTCTCCTCCTTCATGGATTCTCCCCGCGCATGTACGAATCACTGCAGTGACTCGTTCGTAACTACGGAAGTCATCCATGGGGCCTCACGAGCAAAAATAGTCTCTTCCCTTCGCTCTCACTCCTGCCGAGAGTCTCTCTCTCTCGCAACTGCCTTGACACGCTTTGACCCTCCGTCTCGTGTCTAACGGCTCCAATCTCTTCGTCGTCCCGAGTTGGCCTTCGGTCTGCACACACGTCTGTTCTCTCTCACTTCCCACGTGCGGAAGTCAAAGTTGACGCTAATTGCATCCCGCAAGCTCATGCCCCGCTCGCTCGCCAAGTCTCTCCTTTCATTGACCTCTCTCACACATATCAGACCGCCATGTGTAGCCCTTGCACACTCGCACTCGTCCACACATGTTGACTTTTTCGCACACCTTCTCTCTCACTCACCGCTTGTTACGATCACACACACCTCCTTCCTTTGCCTCCCGCCTTTTCTGTCCCGCGCCCTTTGGGACTCCGCTGCCACGAGTTGGCCTTGGGCCCGCCTTCCATAGGGTGTGCCTGAGGGTGGTTCTTGCGAACCTGGTCCGGCCTGTTCCAGGATTGAAGATCGGTCTCCCGGTCTCCAGCCTTGCTCATCTCACTCTCTCCCCCTGAGTCCCTGTCCAGGTGAGCCTGTTCTCGGTCCACCGTGTCTGCTGAGGTCTCAGTCTCATGATAAGCGACCATTACTTGCATCCTCGTTGTCACCCTGTCTCTCCTGCAGCGTCGCTCAGCCCGACCCTTGGCTTCCGTCATAGCATCTTGCAACTTCGGGTTAGTTCTCATTTCCTCCTCCTTAGCCCCCTCCACATTAATCTTTAGTCTCAGTTCGTCTCCCCCATCGTAACTGAGCATCACCATAATCCAGGGCCCTTCTCCAGACATGGGCTTCCAGCGTGTCTGGAGGTACCAGTAGCCTGGTCTATAGCCGTGCAGCGCCATGGCCAGACTTCACTCAATAGACCCAACGCCGCACCAGGACACTGACCCAAAGTGGCGCGCACTAGAAAGCTCACAGCATAGGTCAATGTCGCCTTCTCTTCAGTAGCCAGTGCCAGCGCTCGGTTCGCACTAACACTGCACGTGGGAATGCCGGTCAGGCTAAGTTCAAAACTGTCGGGAATCAAGGACTCAGCGTACTACCACTACCCACGCTCGCGGAGCGGTGACGCTCTCCTCACACACTTGCCAGGAGACCCAAGATCAGCCCCTATTTTATAGAACTCAGAGAGGCCGAGGTCCCTGCGTACTAAGGGAAAAATCAAATAATAACTTAGAATTCCAAAATTAATAAAATAACACGAAATCAAGTTATTTTGAACAAGTAAGGCGAAAAGTCAACAGCTAGTGCACAGGCAGGACACTCGCCCTATAGTCGTGTCAAGTCCCTAGTTCGTGTGACGTGACCACGGTCCAAAAATAACAAAAACAACAGAGGTCCCATAATGGGATACCGATGACCATACCCTTCTCTTCAAAATGCACTGCCGACTTACTCCTATTGGGTACCCGTGTTCAATGGCAAGGAGGGGGCTTATGACCTTCTACAGAGGGTGATAAGCCTCCTACCAATGCGGTCGCGGGTCGCCTCTTTTTAGGGGCCCAACTACACGGAATTCAATCGGACAGATTCGGCGCAGAGAAACAAGCGAAAGGTCGGGGCAAATGTAAACCATCAGACCGCCGAGGACAGTTCGAGATTCAAACCGCTTGTCTTCCCGTGAAATGACAGAAAGCCGAAAGAAGCGATGGAGCCAGGGAAATCAACCAATAAGATTGACAATAATAGCAGTGATAATATTAATAATAATAGTAATAATAATAACAATAAAACAATGTCGGGGAAAAGTAAAGAAATCGTAACGTTATAGTGGCCTGAAGCCACCGGTTTCTCCCCGAACTAAAGCGTGGGTTCTGATCTGACGATTTATTTTTCTTTTACCCCTCTTTTCCTTTTCTTCCCCTCTTTTAATCCGCCTAGTCCCCCTCTTTTCTTTTCCTCTGACAGTGACCTCTGCTCGTCGCACGTAACCCATAACTTGACAAAAGGGGTACCCGGCGCGCAACAGAAAAACCGCGTCTGTCCCTCTACCTTCGCGTCCAGGGCGAACCCGACGGCTACCACGGCCACAGGCCGGTAGTGCTCTGTTGTACAGCAGGGCGCCAAGCCTGCGTGGCCCAATGGAAAGTCATGTGGGGCACCCTTTTGCTGAGGGCAAGCACCCACAGGACCTGTCTGCGTCAGGACACCACCCCGATACATCAGCGTAGTTGCGGAGGTTCGGTAACGACTTAATGAGCCTGCGACATCAGAGCGAGGACCTGGTATCAGGTAGGGACTTGGTACACAGAGGAGGGCCGGGACACCGCGCCCTCCGACAACGTGCGTAGGCTAAGCGTTATCCTTAGGCCACGCATCTTTTTCCTAATGTCCCTAATGGCCTACGGCATCCTTGGGTGAGGCCGCACAATTTTCCCCCTAGCCTCTATCATTCTCTTTGCCTGGCCCACGCATTTCATTCATGATACCATTGCGGCCCTTAGTCTTTTCGGGCCTTCTCCTAACATGCGTCACTCCAAAGCATATACATATCACACAAGGCTACCCCCGTTTCCGGTCTTCTTCCGTCGCATACTCTCATCCCAACCAAGCGCTCAAGTCATCCCAAGCTACTCACCTGCACAATTCTCACACAGACAACGAACAACATCCATCCCCCATTGGGGTCAACACATCGCCCTTCCCGCAACCCTAAGTTTTTTCCTCTTCCATGGTTCTTCCACCCTTTTCCTTCCTTTCCGCAGTCAAGCCATGCTTTTTCCTTACTCATGCAATCGGGGGAATGGTTGAGTCAACTGACCTTTGCCCAAACGCGCACTTGTCTTCACTTTTCTTTTCAAAGATGCCACTCTTTCCAAGTTCACAAATCTTTCACTTTGCTCCTTCTTGGTGGCACAAGGGACCGGCTGCCCCCCCCTTGCCCTCTTTCTCCACCAAGTGAGGCTGCCCCTTTTCTCCGTTCGTCCCCTGGCAATGTAACAAGTGAGGGTAGGTTAGTCATATGTCAAAAGGAGAAGGCGGGGAGGGAAAGGGTGAGGTTGCTTGGGGTGGGCGGGAAGGGGGACGTTGGTGGAAGGAGAAGCGGCGGACGACGAGACGATACAAGAGACGAGAGAGAGAGAGAGAGAGAGAGAGAGAGAGAGAGAGAGAGAGAGAGAGAGAGAGAGAGAGACCCCTAGGCCTAATCAAACTTACTACTGAATCGCCCGCCTACCCTACCCAAGACGCCCCATGCCCCTTAGTTGCCCCATTTGCGCATGCTATTCGAGTGTCGGAAGGAGACGGGGCAGGGAGAAGGTACAAGGTACTTGGCTATGGAGGATGGGTGAGGGGGATGAAGAAAGGAGAGGGTGCAGGGTGTCCGGCTATGGTGGATGGGTGAAAGAGATGGAGGAGGAAGACGGTGGACGGTGCTCGGCTAAGGTGGATGGACGAGGGAGATGGAGGAGGAAGAAAGTGGAAGGTGCTTGGCTATGGTGGATAGGTGAATGGAGATGGAGGAGGGAGAAGGTGGATGGTGCTTGGCTATGGTGGATGGGTGAAGAAGATGGAGGAGGAAAAAGGTGGAAGGTGCTTGGGGGAGGGAGAAGGTGGAAGGTGCTCGGCTATGGTGGATGGGTGAAGGAGATGGAGGAGGAAGAAGGTGGAAGGTGCTTGGCTATGGGGGTTGGGTGAAGGAGATGGAGGAGGGAGAAGGTGGAAGCTGCTTGGCTATGGTGGATGGGTGAAGGGGACGGAGGAGGAAGAAGGTGGAAGATGCTTGGCTATGGTGGATGGGCGAAGGAGATGGAGRAGGAAGAAGGTGGAAGGTGCTTGGCTATGGTGGATGGGTGAAGGAGATGGAGGAGGGAGAAGGCAAAAGGTGCTCGGCTATGGCGGATGGGTGTAGGAGGTGGAGGAGGAAGGAGGTGGAAGGTGTTGGGCTATGGTGGATGGGTGTAGGAGATGAGGGAGGACGGAGGTGGAAGGCGCTTGGCTATGGTGGACGGGTGTGGGAGATGAAGGAGGATGGAGGTGGGAGGTGCTTGGCTATGGTGGACGGGTGTCGGGGATGAAGGAGGATGGAGGTGGGAGGTGTTTGGCTATGGTGGATGGGTGAAGGAGATGGAGGAGGAAGAAGGTGGAAGGTGCTTGACTATGGTGGATGGGTGAAGGAGATGGAGGAGGGAGACGGTG